AACTAATGGCATTACTATACGGGGAGGATACATGGAACTTTTACGATAACCAACCCAGGAAACTAATCAAAATCTCACTCAGCAGTCCCCGATGAATGCTGAAGATAAGGAGGCATGGCATGATCCCAGACACAGAAGTACACGAACGAACCAGAATCCTCAGCGTTCATGCCATGCTGAGACGACTACAACTACACTGCAGCGGCCACCTCACGAGGATCACGATGACCGCCGTACCAAGCGACGATGTCGCTACGGCTGATCACAGACAAGGGGAACTAGAAGGACGCCAGAGGGACATCCTGCGGACCTCCCTCCACGGTTTGCAAATCAGCTCCGAGATCTAAAACGATCTTGTCCAGAGCTGGCCGGCCTGCAGAAGAGCAGTGAAGACCGGCACAGCAGTCAACGGAGGCAGTCAGATCGCTGCTGCAAAAACCGAAAGAGCGGCACGCAAGTCTCAAATGTCTCCTATCCACAACGTCAACACCCAACTCCTTCCAACATGTCCACGCTGTCAACGAACATTCAGCGCACGAAGCGGCCTCGTTAAGCATCCCCAGGCCCAACCCAATAACAACCCGACAACCTCACATGGTGCCTTCGCAAACGTCCCAATTGTCACACCTGACAAAACTCCACGGCGTCCACGACAGCGACCGCTACCAATACCACACCCCGACCGCAGACTCCCAAGTCTCGCCGCCTAAGCCAATCACCACACCCATTATCACTGCCACATCCCCTGTGACGACGGCAACGACAACGACGACCACCAAGACAACCGGCGTGCAAATTCCTGACATCAACCACCGTTTCCATGATATCTGCCGCATCCTGTGTGATGCGGCGACGACGACCGTCCCTCCCGCACCTCCCACCGGTGATAACACTCACAAAACTCCGTCAGCCACCACCCCATCGCCACCGCCACCAGCATCTCTGCCACCAGTAATGTGGGCTTGATCCCAACCTATCCCCACTGCAGTTGTGCCTTCACATCACGCATTGGCCTGGCCGGTCATTTGCCAATTCAATATACTGTGACTGGCGAACCAGTGCAGGTGGCGCTTTCGTACACTTGCCGCATCCGCCTCCATGGCCTACGCTGCTCTACCACAATTAGTTAGGCCGACTTGTCTTGATGCGCCTCCACCAAAATCTGCAAAAAACCACTGCAAAACAATTCCCATAGCCACAATTTCCCCATCAACGCATACACTACACATGAAAATGCCCGACACCGTTCAACATAGGCACGAAGAATGTACGTCTCACGAAAGCGATAAGTGTATTTTTGGTCCTTCTCTTTGTGGCACCTCTGCTACTTTAACACAATTGAAATGTGAACAGTTCACTCTTGTTATTAAAAGTCCTAATGTGTTGTGTGGAGGTCAGTTCGTGTGTAACGTGTGTTGAC